CCTTGTTTCTAGATTTTCACAAGGCTGAAGAACTCTGATGCAAAATTTCATCTTTACCAGAAACAATTTTTATTTATACTTTTAATTACAGTAATGTTCTGAAATCTCTTACTTCAGACTTCTGTGCTGCATTAATACTTTCTATTTCTCTGAATCTGGAATTGGACACGTGTAGCTCTGTTGCTGCATCTGAAAGAAAGGTGAAAATGTTCAGTTTTATTAACTTACAAAACACTGAGCAAACATTACTTAAAACCACAGCTATTACTAAGTATCTTTTCTTTAGACTGCTTTAACATTTGTTTGCACCTAAATATGAGAAGTTACCTTTATCAGAACGCTACTGAAAATATTTTTCAGGCCAGAATTCTTCTGGACTTAATTTAGTTCTCTCATATCAATTATTTAAGTCAAATCACAAAACTAATGGAAAAGCATGAAATTAAGCTTAAAAATACGTGTAACAGTAGTTTTCACTGGGCTGTTACGTGTCACTGAGTCAGTTCTTCATTTAGGACTTTGTCCCTGACATAACTGTTGCATGTGATTATTTCTCAATAATTTCATGTGAAGATTCAGAACAAGGATTAGCTCCCTAAAATACATACAGTGGTGACTAAATTTAGTCAGGAAAACAAACAAACAAAAACCAACAGCTAAAAAACCCATACAGCAGAACACCAACCTGTCCCATATGCCAGGGGGCACAAACCCTTTAAGACTCGTTGTCATTTACAAAAGCAATGCAGTTTGACCACACAAAAAAGTGCGTTGTTCTCCCGTTGGATCTTCTTTCTTTAAAAGTCAATTTTCCTTAAATAACCTACATTTACTTCTCCCTTCTCCCAGGTTTAGTGGGTATAAATAGAACACTTCCTTGTATTAACGAGGAATCACAATTAATGGGCTAGAATGCAACCTCCACATTTTTTCAAAACTTGAAATAAACACAAATGTGCACCTAAATGCTGTATTTTATAGTTTCCTATACATTGTCTAAAACCAATGTTGCTTGAGCGCTGCAGGAGCTGCAATACAGCCATTAAACTGAAGATGTTATCATCTGTAATCCACCAACAGCATCATGAGTTAGGCCAGCAGTCAAAACAGCGAACATTAAAAGACAGGGTAAGAGAACCACAGAATTATTAAGATTGGAAAGACCACTAAGATCATCTAGTGCAAACACCAGCCCATACCTGAGACTGCTCTAGACCCCATCACTCAGTGTGATATCCAACACTTTTCTTGAACACCTCCAGGGATGGTGATACCTCCATTCTTGGGGCAGCCTGTGCCAGTGCCTCATTGGAAGGAAAGGAACTGCTCTAAAAGCGTTCTTAAGGCCACATGATATGTGCAGGCCTTTAGGGATCAGAGCACTTAGATGATGTTGGATTTTTACACCCCAGGTCAGTAAGCATAAGATCCCATACCAATGCACTGCTCCAAAACTGGTAGGAATTGAAAGCTGTTGCTAGCAATGCTAGCACTCAGGTACAACTGGAAGCAACTGCTGATCATCAGCTCTCTTTCACACAAACCAAAGCACAAACCTGTGAAGCAGTATCACTATTTATACTCTACTATAGCCAAGAAACCCAGCAGAAGACTGCACAACTTGGAAGCACAAGGTAAGTTTCCAAATGAAGCCAATACAGAATTTAGGATATAAAATAATTCAAGAGCATATCCTTCAGAAAAGTGAGGAAAAGATTTCTTCTCAGAATAAAGATCTCTCTTGCGAGCATTTTACCCACACACCAAAAGCCCCATCTGCATCACAGTTCCAGCGTGAGCTTGCTAACACGATTTATGCAACACATTCGCAGTGTTTCACAGCTGCAAATAAGCCACGGTAGTTGAAATCCACACTCTGTAAAGAGAAGCACGAGCAGCTCTGCGTGTTTGCTATTCTTTATGCCCACTGCAGAATACTCTCAGCCCTGCCGAAAGATCTGCAACAAAACCAAGAGGGGACCACGGTCTGAGTGACACGTCAGACCGATAGCACCGCTGCACTGCAGCCGTATGAGGTCACTGCAAAAGCAGCTCATCAAACCGGGTCTGACACAAACGAGGCCCACGCAAAGAAAGAAAAACGTCGTGTACTTCCACGACGGACAACCCAACACTTCACTCTATACACAAACTACAGAGTAACCAACACAGCGCTGGCTGGCCTCTCCTACGGCAGCCTGGGAACGCGTTTGTTTATTCTCCCGATCCTGAGGCCAGAAAAAAACGCAGACCAAAGCGGGCAGGGGTGGTAGCTCCAGATAGCCCAGCACCGACCTCCCTCCCCCGACTGCCGGACGGGCCCGCGCCGCAGCCCCTCTTACCGCCCACTTCCTCCGCGCCCTCCAGCAGGATATCCTTGGTGAAGCTGGAGATCTGCCCGGTGAGCGAGGACAGGCTGCCCCCCACCTGCCCCAGGGACTGGCCGAGCCCCGAGCCCAGCCCGCCCAGCCACGACGCCATGGTTCGGCCGGCCGCAGGCCTCCGCACTCAGCAGCTCCCGGCTCCGCGCCTGGCAGCACCGGCTTGGCGAAGGGGGTGGCCGCCTCCGCTCTTCTCCTCGCCGGGGAGATCGAAGCTCTTACGCGGGCTCAGCAAAACGCTCCCGGTGAGCCCTCCGCCGGCGCCGTGCGCATCCCCCGGCTCAGCGGCTCCGCCCGGCAGCGCCGGCCGCTGCCACCTCAACGGCCGCCATGACACCGCCTGCCGGAGTACCATCGACAGCGGCCGCGGACGGCTAGAGCGCCCCGCGGCGGCCGGAGGGCAGCGGAGGATGCCGGGATCGTGGCGGAGGCGCGGGGGGCGGTCTGGCGGAGCCGAGGGAGGTGGCGCCCTTTTCCAGGGCCGCCTCGGACAGCGCGTTCCTGTCTTCACTGCTCCTCCTGAGAATCTTTTGCAGCCGTATCTATTTGTGCCTATTTAGACACTATTGTGAAAATAGCAAACAGCGCTGCTGCCATTTTCCATTCAAAACAATGACAAAGGTGGTTTTTTTTTTAAACCTTTTCAGCATTGTATACTTTATATACACAAAAACGGTGGAGCAATCTAATGCCAAAGATCTCATACTGAAAGTAGAGATGAAAACCTATTACTGAAAATTATTTCTAAAATATGCAACTATTTGACAAAAGGAAAGAAAATATGCCCATAGGAAGCTCTACATGCAAGGTTTCTCACAGTAACATAACATTTCTCAAAGCTTATATATTTTAAAGACAATCAAAGCTCTCCTGCTTTCTTGGACAGTTTTGTCTCAGTATTACACCCCTTTCCATTCAAACCCTTTTAAGTTCCCCCCCTGAATTTACACGGTGCCAGTACTAGGTGAAAAACATACCATAAACGCAATGATAATTGCATCTCTCTTGGAATAAATAATGGAAAAGCACTTCGATTTTGTGAAAGTAGGCACAAAGATGCACGTGTTTAAACACTTTCTGAAGAATGAGAACTGAGGAAGGAGGAGCACAGGTTGAATACCAAAAAGTTCTTTAATGCCAGAAATGCAGGCAAGGCACAAAGTACGTAAGCAGGTTAAAAAAAAAAAAATAATAAAATAAAATAAAAAAAAATTGTAAAATAGTTCATGCTTCCACAACAGCCTGGATGCAAGAATGCTACTCATTCCTGTATTGTAAATAATGAATATTTGGACCTTACAAAATATTGGTCTTGAACAGCTGGTGATGTAGGTGCATGCGTAAGTCTGTCAGACCTTTCTTTTTAAATGATTTATCAGTACCTGAAGATTTCTCAAGAGTTTGGCTTGTTTAACATAAGGTAGTAGCAGCTTATAAAATTAATTTGCTCATTTTCTATCTATGCCATTAAAAATGTTTCCAGTTACATTTTTTCTTTTCTTGGATGTTTTAAAATGTTTTATTTCTTTAAAGCCAACTTTTAAAGTTGGTAATAAGATTGTACAGCTATACGTCTTGTAAACATGAGTTCTGGTGCTCCCAAACCTAATTCTTCATAACATTCATCAGTGAAAAACCCCATCTGTTCACTTTTATCCCTATGTTTGAAAGTTACTAAATTCTAGAAAAATTCTTCAAAAATTCTTCAAAATAACTTCAAAACTCTGTTGTTCATTTTTTGAAAGCCGAATTGTCAGTTTTATAATAAAACAAAGCAGCTTGTAGACAACAGTATTTGTCCAAGATAGGGAAATAGAACCACTTACTTGTGCGGGTGCTATTTTAAGCACAGTTCTTATCTCTACTGCCCACCCTTTTATAGATTCATAATAGCTGCAATAGTCCAATATGAAAATCCACTGGAGATTTAATATTGTAACGGCGTTTAGTACTCCAGGTGAGAAATTTATAGGCACCTTATAGTGTGAATTCTGCAAAGTAATCGCATATGAAAAAAAATAAACATTAACTCTAGCTGAAAATTACATTTAAACCCACTGCTCATGGTTTTTTTGAAGTTTGAATAGTGCAAAGAGCCCAAAGGTAGGAGGAGTAAGCCAGTATTCTATCAGATTAGCTCCAAGGCCAGAAAATTTTGTAAATACAAATTCATATCCTTAATACCATGCCTAACAAGAACTGCATTCAAGCACAACTGTATTACTTCTTCATCTTGCCCTCATTACAAAACCATGAGAACAGTTTACAGAATTATACTTACACACTTATTTTGGAAGCCACCTAACAGAAGTATCACTCATTCCCCTACCAGAACACAAATTGTGTCAGATGGATCGTGAGGAAAATAGTAAACATCTGTCACATGAATGAAGCCTGAATTCCCCTTAAATATCTTATTGCAATTAAAATAAATAAATAAAGGTATGCTCTTTAACATCAGATTTTGGCTTATAGCTATGTGGAAAAAAGAAAACATTTTCAGTTTCACTAGGAATAGGCTCCAAATGCCACATTTAGTAATTAGTAAATGCTACATTTATCAGTACAGTTCAAACACAGTGAGAAGTGTTTATCATTAAAAGAATCCACACAGAGAAAACAAGATCAGCTTTTTATTGACAATTTGGCAGGTCCACATATTTTGAACTTTAGAACTGGGTCAAAAAAATATGTTCTGTCAAGAATTAGTCTTTTGTGTTGGTGCAATTAGCACACTTAGCTTTAACTGTTACCTCTGAATTGCTTGACTTGGCAGTTAAGCATACTTCTAACTTAACACTCCTCTGAATGCCAAACTGATATTTGTACAGTGATGCTGTTTCTACACAGAAAGAAACATGATTAGCCCTGTAATCTGACTCACACATTTGTGCTTTTCAGGCACTGTTACTTTATAAGCGTCACAGGTTAAAACACTTGGGTAGAGTAACTTAAAAAACAACATGAAAGTTCAAATGCAAACCTCCACACTTCAGTGATTACAAAAAACATGTACCAGAGGTCAGTACTGGGGCCCATCCTATTTAATATCTTTACTGATAATTTGGATGAGGGAACTGAGCGCACCATCAGTATGTTTGTAGACGGCACCAAGTTAGGGGTAAGAACTAACTACTTGAGAATAGAAAGGCTCTACAGAGGGACCCGAACAGGCTGGATAGCTGGGCTGAGACCAATGGGATGATGTTCAACAAGCCTAAGTGCTGGGTCCTGCACTTTGGTCACAACACCCCCATGCAACACTGTAGGCTGGAAAGCTGCACAGTGGAAAAGGATCTGGAGGTGTTGGTTGACGCTCAGCTAAACATAAGCCAGCAGTGTGATCAGGTAGTGAAGAAAGCCAAGGGCATCCCAGCTTGCATGAGAAACAATACAGCCAGGAGAAGCAGGGAGGTGATCCTCCCTCTTTTCAACTCCAATCCGACTCCATTGAGTATTCAACTCCAGCAAGGCTGCATCTCAAGTACTGCGTTCAGTTTTGGGCCGCTCACTACAAGACAGACAGTTGAGGCCCTAAACTACATCCAGAGAAGCAAGTGAGGAGTCTGGAACACAAATCTTATGAAATAGCTAAGGGAAGTGGGATTGTTTAGCCTAGAGGAGGCTCAGGAGACACCTTATAGCACTCTGCAACTACCTGAAAGGAGGTTGTGGATCGGCCTCTTCTCCCAGGTAACAGGGACAGGATGAGAGGAAAAACCTAAAGGTGCTCCAGGGGACGGTCAGATTAGATAGCAGAAAGAATTTATTCTCAGAAAGAGCGGTGAGATATTCAAACAGGTTACTCAGGGAAGTTGTGGAGTCACTGTCCCTGAAGGTGTTAAGAGAAAGGGTAGATGTAATACTGAGGGGCATGGTTTAGAGGGCAATATTGGTGGTAGGTGGGTGGACTAGATGATCCTGGAAGTCTTTTACAAGCTTTATGATTCTATGATGTAATTGTCACAGGTTAGTTAATGCAATTCAAGGGAATTTTTTTTTTTAATTTTTAAATACAGGACCACTATACTATGTAGCTAAAGAAATGGTATTTTTATGATATTCTTGTAACAGAAGATAAAAGGTCCAAGTTCTAGTATCAAGTAAGTATTAACAAGCTCTGCCAGCCTACACCTATTTATTAAAAGGAGAGAGATTTCAGGGTCAGTTTATGGCACAACAAAGGAAGGGAAGTTAAAGTCGTGGATAATTTGCAAACAAGCAAAGAGATAACTCACTGCTTTACATACTCCTCTTCTGTTTTCAGTTTCATATAAATTTCAATCAAATCTACCTCCTGAAAAATATAGCATTTCAAAATGGCATTTGCACACGTGACTTCTCAATGCCATTACTTGGCTGTATTACTTCAGCACATTATAGAGATTACATGTGCAGAATAGGATTATATACAAAACAAAATCTTAATTTTTTAAAAAGTAGTGCTGTCATGTCAAAATTCACATCATACTACACATCCCAGCAGTGGAAATTCAGGAAAACAGAATTCACTCTATATGTATAATATTCTAACCTATCAAGAAAAACCATTGCTGTAAACAAATATTTACTGGGAGGTAAGAGCCCTTTCAAGTAAGTACTACTTGATGCTGAATGCATACTTCCATTTAACTACCATTAAGTTCTAATACTAATTTTATATGTCACTATTGTGCAATGATACTACATTAGGATATTTTGATATAGAAATTCGGGTTTATTTGCAAAAGATATTCTTAGAATGCCTGTGCTGTTAATGCATTGAATACAGCTTGCATACTGTATCTATAACATATTTCCACATAATTTATATGTAAACAGAATTTGTATTTCAAGCACCATTTAGTAAAATGAAACATCAATTTCTGCACTAAGTTGGAAGTCAGGTTCGTTCACCCTATCACACATTCATCCTGGGTATCAAAACAAATGTGCTACAACAAATAGAATAATCTCTCTCCCATCCTTTGCTCCCTGTTTTGTGTTGGATTTTTTTTTCCTCAGCATCAGAAACAGCATGATAAAAAAATTTTAAGGTGCATGAGTAAAGGCCATTCCTGAAAAAGCTACAACATTCTGACAGACAGTCAAAAAGCATTTCAGAAAGAGCACCCACACAGACATAAATATTCATTCTTAGAAGAGCTACTTGCACAGAGGTCATTGTAGACTGCAGGAATGCAACTTATGTGGCATTGATTTTATGGCACCCAGATCTTCCCCATTTTCCTTTCTCCTAGACTCAGTTACAGCTCTATGATACTGAAAGGCCAGAATTAAGGGTTGAAGAGGAAAAGATAACAGTAGAAATATAAAAGAAAAACCTGTTTAACCCATTGTGATACTTTCATGATAAAAACAGTGGTATAACCAGAAGGAGTATTAAAAAAAAAAAAAACCAAACCTAGCATTAAAAAAAAGTTATTTACAAAAAGACAAAATGGCAAAGCAAAAATCCTACCTCAAGCACGAACTTTGAAACTACAAGTAAAACTAAAAGTAAAACCAGAAAGTGTTAGAACATCAGAAGCACTCTGGAATCTTTCAGTGAATGTCATGATCTACAGTACACTGGAGATTTTCTGTTTAATTGCCAAGCAATACATTTACAGATTTAGGTTTCTCCTGCAGGGTGGGTCATTTCAAAAGCGGACAGCAGGACCAAAAAGTTGACATCAAGTCATTTGAAGAACAAATCACAGAACAAGTTACCTAAGATAAACAGAATCTAGTTGGTTGTTTTTTTTTTTCCCCATTTGAAGTATTTTCTTATATCTAGCAACTTATGAATACAATTTATTACTTCTATCTATTTTTGTATTAGTATGGAAAAAAAGTGGTTGATACCAATTTTTGGCACTTTTTGTGTTCTCCATAGAATTTTTCAAAACAAACTTTTTTAATGCAAGTTACAGCTGCTACATGTGCATGTTTGATCAAGAGTAACGTAAGTAACTTCAATACTGTTACTCTTGTAGTAGGAGTGCTATGGTTTTCTAAATTAGTGCAAACTTTTCATATTTGCAGATTCCCTCTAAACTCTGAGCTCCAGCCAACCTTTCATTCCTGCTTCCAGAACTCTGAAATGAACCCAGCTTGTGCAACATCCACACAGTAAAATTGTAACAGAGACGTAGTGTTTTGACAATAGAGGGGAAAAATTACGATGTCATTTCTTCTCTTCTGTACTCAAGTGGTTTCTAGCAGATTCCAGCGACATATTCATAGCTGCTTGAAGCATGTCCTCCTCACTCATATCACCTCCTAAAGAAAACAGACGTATACAAATTGTAATAAATGCACAGATTCAGCTCTCAACTGAATCTGCAATTAAATGCTTTCTTTGCTCCTTTTGTCCATACCTACTCTGTCCCAGCCAAACTAAATAACAAAAAGCACAGCCAGAGCTCAGTCTAATAGTTCACCCTGGAACAGGGTACTGACATTCACAACAAAACAAACATTTCAAGAAAGTGATCCTTCCCTTCTGCCAAAAAGAGTAATGACTGTGATGCATAGTCTGAACCACTGCTGGGGTGAGAAATAAGGCAGGTAAGGAAAGCGAGGAAGCAGAGCACAATACAAAGGTAAATAAAATATACTGACATATTTATTTACAAAGGTAAATAAGATATATTTTAATGTTGGAAATAAGTTTAGAAAACATTACCTGGATCAGCTTCCAGAGTGCTTGAGTTTATAGTTGGTTTATCATGTAGGTTCAGGGTCAGATCCTGCTGTTCTATCTGCTGTTGCTGCCTGAAATAATTATAAATTTAAAGAAAAGTAGAATTAAGATCAGTACAACTCCTATATCAAGTCTATTTCATTGTCAAGGAAGGCCAAGAGTTAGATGTATAAGCTGCCGTTCGAAATACTGACCCACCCACACCACCTCAAATCTGTTTAATTGCTTCCTCCACTAAGCCTCACATGGGGATAGCTGATATTCCAAATTACAGGCCTGTTTTCCAGAATTCAGGCATTCTGCATTACTATCCTCTCATGCAATACCTATCACCTCCTTTCTGCAGCATTTCTCCCTTATCTAAATTTCCTCCATCACTGGGAAATAAGACAAGCAAAGACTACAATAAAACCACAAATATAAGTATTAAGGCAGCGCTCCAGAAACAAAAAAATGAAGTAGCATCTAGAAAATCTTTGTATGATGTTCATGAGAGAAATCATTTCCAGAAGTCTTAGAGGAAGAGTATTTTTCAGGAAAATAATTATGGAAATTATTTACAGCAGTAGAAATACTCTAACATATTTATTTCCTTTCCTTCATAAGACTGATGGCACACTACTAACAGATCCCCTCTTATTTACAGGCTTCATTTCTTAAGAACGCATGGGAATAGCAGAAGTCTAGTACTGCTACGAAAACAGGTTAAGGGTTAAAATCAAGCTGGATCTCTGAGAGAAATCCACCCACAGCCCAAAAGCACTGAACAATAAGACATTTACTTCCAAATGCAGATTTAGTTTTCTATCAGCTACTTTACTTTTCAAAATATGCTTGTCTTCTCCTGCGCAGATCTTCTGAAGGAGAGTCTGTCTGACTGCTGTGTGGTGGCTGAGAAGCATTCTGTGGTAATGAGTTTGAGAACTCATTTTGACGACTACCTAAAAATCAGAACAAGCCATATCCTACTAATTACAGTAAAATTATAGCTCACTTTTTAAATTTGTTTTTATATTAAGAAAAAAACCCAACCCAAATGCATCATTCTTCACGCTTGATGAAAACAGACTTGTTAGTGAAAGAAGCACCTAGGCGAGGTTCACTGTCACTTTCTCATCCCAGAATTGATTCCTTTCACTCCTCCCTCCCTACTTGTTCTTGCCTCCTAAAAATCAGTGTTAATGTAGAAGTTGTAACTTTTCAAACAGCAGGAAGGAGATAGATACAAGTTTGGATTATCCTTCTATGCCTCAAAGCCAGTCTTTTCAGAGCTTGAAGCCTGCTGAAAACAGCTGTCTGAAGCTGATTTCAGTAGCTGCTAAGGTGCAAGCAGCAAGAACACTGCAATTTAAAAAAGCACTGTACCTTGCATGCTGAGTTGAATGGCCCTACGAAGATCAGCTTCTTCATCTTCCATATCAATTTCTTGCCTACTTAAAGCCAGAGCTCTTTGAAAATTCTCCTCATCTTCATCTAACATGCTTGTCCCATCAAAAGGATGGCTAACTTCTATCGCTTGGTCCACATCACTTCTAGGTAGCCTGTGAAGTTGATACATTTATAATACTCAAACCACAATCGTGCTTACTTCTACTGAGATTTAAAGTAGTTTGTGCTGACTCAACTACTTATATTTTTAACTTTGACAAAAAGTGACTTACGAAAATCAGAAATATTTTCTTATTTCTATACAAAAAAAAAAAAAAAAACATTTTGAAGGAATTGCAAGAATAGTTTTCAGCTATAGAAATGAAAATACCAAAACCATGAATATATGCTTATAAGTTGATGAGAATTTACTTTACAGCAGAAACTTCAAAAGCAAAAGTGCTATGGAAAGACATGAATTTTATTTGAACCTATTTCAAGTAAGACAGTCAAACCCACAGATAAAAGTGTACGTGGTCTCTCCTCAGGAACCTTTGATGATAACACTACAGCAAAAGATCCTCTGCAAACTATATGTAATTTCACATCACTGCCAAGTAGCTTACTGTTTTTATGACATTTGTTTACAACACCATAATTTATGAAGTGGAAGTAATAATAACGAATTCATTCTAAATTAATTCCTCTGAATTCTTCTGTCATAAGATACGAAAGATTCCTTTGGCCAGTTTGGGTCAGCTAATCTGCCTAGCTAACCTCCCAGCTGCTTGTGCTTCTCCCCCAGCCCTTCACTGGCAGGACAGTATGAGAAGCTGAAATGTCCTTGGCTTTGTGCAGCACTGCACAGCAAGAATTAAAACATCACTGTATTATCAACACTGTTCTAGTCCCAAAGCCAAAACATAACATTATACCATACACTATGAAGAAAATCAACTCTGTCCGCATTGAAACTAGGTCATCTACTAATTTGGCTTTATAGTGTGCAATAGAACACATTGATCTTGAGGTACTTCTAATTACATCTTAAAGGGTTTGTTTCCACGTAGGCATTAATCATGGAAACAAATCTTACTGAACATTATTAAAAGTAAGTCTGTTTACCTTACCTCTGGTCTCTTGACTGCGCAGTCTCTTCTCCAATTAGTTTTGGTCGCTGCACCTGCTGAACTCGAATCATCTGCAACAGCTGATCAGCCTCACAGTCTGGCAGGTCACCTTTTACTACAAATATGGAATAACCTGAAAAACAGAAATCATAGGTCTACAGCATTAAGCTGCACATGTAAATTATATGAAATGTAAACTTATATGGAATACAGTGGTCTGTGGTTTATTAAAATTAAGGCTCAAACTCTCATTACACGAACTTAGTTTCATTATTGAAATAGTGAAATAACCCAAAGATAGTTAACTGAATACATAACTTCTAATAAATAATGATTACCTGCTTTTAATTAAAGAGACTTAACATCTGCAAGTTACTATTACCTTCCTGTTGTAATTGTGCCAAGAAAAGTGCAAGATATGTATCTGATATTAGCTCTGGACCCATCAAGAGAGAGTTCAAGTTAAACCACTGCAATTAAGAAAAAGTTTGAGAGAACAAATTAGCATAAAGACAACTCAGTTATCCATTTTTGTACATTGTGGTCATTTTCTAAAATAAAATAAAATCACCAAATAAAATAAATCATCAAGTTAGAAGTCTATTGAAGCACAATAATTACACTGCTCACAGTTTTCCTTCAAAATCTCTTCAGCTAACAGGAGATCTGAAGCATGTAAGTGACTGCATGCTCTCTCTCCTTTCTAAACACTGGTAGCAGGCAAGCAGACCAAAACACAAATCTAAGGATGGCAGAATAATCACTTTAGGCATAGTTGTAAAATGCTCTTTTTTTTTTTTTAAAACAGTTCAGGAATACATGAAGAAAGAAGTTCTAAAGCTAACACTATCTTAATATATTTGTAGTTACAGGAAACAGAAATTGAATTCACTGTATTAATTAAACATGCTGCCTTTATCAGATGATGATACTGCAAATTATTGTTCACATCTCTGGGAGATAACTGTTAAATATTTATAAAAATGAACGTAACATTTAATATGCCAGTTATGCATGTACACATTACAATATGGGTCACAGATTATTTTCAGATGCCTGAAGACAATTCATTATATATAATATTTCCACTAGGGAGAAAATATACTCAATATGTATGGCAAAATGGTCTACCTGGTGTATTCCATTTATACAGCAATAAATTTGAAGAATATTTTTATATTCCATACCCATTCAACATTACCAATTTGAACGAGAACACACCATTTCAGACAGAAGAGTTTTATCTCTTATCACAAAAATTCATCTGTCTGCATAAAATGTCAAATATGCAATTCTACGCTTGCAGTCAGGGCCAAACTGTAATTCACCTGGTGAATTCAGAGTCAACTATCTACCATTCTTAAATTGTCAGTCAAAAGCCCCTGTTCGACTAAGATAAGGTAAAGAAAACAAACAGCGTAGGAATGGGGAAAGAATTAAAAAGTTATGTGAACATATGTGACAGACAGATTACTGATAAACTATTAGAAGTGTGGAGGACAAAAGTTTGGAGAACTAACTGCTATAACTGTAACAGAAAAGAAACAGCTGAAAGCAGTAAGTCAATTTCTTTTGTCTCTCCCTTCTCATTACTCTCTAGTGAACAGAACCTTGTTTTCTTTGTTTGGCTACAAACCATGTGAGAAAACAAATGCATCCCCCCTCCAATTAAACATGTTGTAGGCTAGAACAGTGTCTCAAACAAGTTTCAGCTGGCTATAATTTTTACCAGGGAGCTTATCCAACCCTTTAAAGGCCATTCAGCCTCTTCAATTTCGAATACACCAAAAAAATGCCTGTAAACAATTATCAGCCAAACTCTCGAACTGCACCAGAACTGTGGAATTTAGTTTGCTTATTCATGGGCAAAATTGCAGTTCTTTTAAATTGGATGCCAACATAAGTAGTCACCACTTGGAACATCAAATGGGTAAGTCAACTTCTGCTTATTTCTATATTATATATATTCTGCAAATTTCAGAATTTGAATGCTTATTTTATGGGACACTTTCTATGACAAAAAAAAAAAAAAACAAAAACCAGAAACAACAACAACAACAAAAAAAAAATCAACCCCAAAACACCACACCAAACCAATTGATTTCTGTTGTATAAGAGCTTATGCAGTACAATCCAGAACAATCATCAGTTACTGAAAAAAAGACTGCACTGGCATTACAGGAGATCTGTGTGTGATTTGTGCTATTATATAGGTACTATGCATATGTATGGCTGTTCTTTACCTTTAATAGTTATTTTCTGCTTATAATACAGCTGCTTCAGATTGATTTTTACAATAGTGGAAAGTTGTGATTCTACCTTGCCCAGCCTTATCCCTTGGATACCCTTAAATACCTGCAATTATTAATATTCATTAGTACAACTTTCAAATCATAATTTTTTTCTGTTGTTTCACACATAGAAAGAAGGAAAGAACTTAAGAGGTCACAAGGACTGCCTCAGCTACAATTTCCTATAGAACAGCTTCACTAGGGAAATGATCCTAGGACGTTTCCCCAAACTAAAATTCAAGGGAAGCTGCCTGGCATTTGATATAACAAACATTTACTCATTTATTTATATCTACTATTAAACCAAATCGCAGAAAAAGCCTGCAAAAGGCCAACACATGGTCTACTTGAAACCACTTCTTCCACCCCCATTCTGAAGTCAATTTTTAAATAAAAAAAGACAGTGTCACCTGTTTTCCTAACTTTCGAACTGTAAACCAGTGTTCCTTATAATTACAAATAAATGATTTTTCATTTCTGTAAAAAGAAAAACAAAAGGTATAGATAAAATTAAATAATATTGAGTGCATATTAATGTTTTCAGTTCTTTGCCACCACTAATTTAAACTTACAAAACAAACTTTCAGTAATAAAACTGTTGATTTGATGCTACAGAGTACTCATACTGCTTTTATAACTTATAATATTTATGAAATTGTCTTTTTCATCACATCGGCATTACTGAGATCTCATATAGTTGTGATGCCACAGATACTGAGATGTCAAAGGCACAGAGGAGATGTGCTCATATACACCCTCAAAAGAAGAAAAAATGTCAAAGGATCAGGGTGTAAGAAAATAAACGAGAATGCAACAGAGCTTAAATACTGATTTTAAAGAAATCAATAACTGTTTTTCAGTATTTTTCCTAAAATTAAAGGAAATTGTGCTTAAAAAATGATGACAACAAAAATTCTTACATAGGGTCGATCCCAAGCCTCTGATACTCTGGACTGTTGAAGAGGATTAGTTCTAAACCCCACACTTTCAAGGCATTGCTTATAACCTGTCAAAACAAACAAATGAACAAAAAATCAACAACACTTTTTGAGTCAAACCTATCCGATCTAACTTGAGCAAGAGCAACCATTTTAGCTGCTACAAACACTTCTATCGTCCTCATAAAGCTTTCATCTCAAAATCCTGCAGGGAAAATTAGGAATCACATTATTCAAAATGCCACCCTCATCAACCTACATGCAAATATAACATGCCTACCATATCTAAGGGGGAATATCAAAGTTGTGATTTAACTAAGACATGTTAATAAACTTACTGCTGCAAATTATAGTCAAAACATAGTCAAAGCTATAATTTCACCTCCCACAGCTACTGCCTATGTTGTCATCTCTCTGTTCTCCACACACTGCTCTGTTTGCCCTCTCCTAAGTACAAAGTCATCTATCCCCACAGTAACTATTTGGCATTTGCACCACTTGAATGTCACATCATCAAGTCAGTTTCATTAGTACTGGCTTACTGATAGCATTTATATAGAGCTGTCTGTCCATCAAGGCTTGCTGATCAATCTAAAGACTTACAGTTTCTACTGTACTGCAAGCAAATAGCTGTATAACAAAACCTTGGAAGTCACTATGTCTTAAGGCTTCTAAATAAGAATCTTCTCAACTTATTAGAATATTCAAAGTGACTTTGATAGATAATCAGCAAATCTGAAAATAAAAGGTAACTACCAAATTCTTTTACAATAACTCTTAAAGCTACTTGCAGTAACACTGTAGAAAATTTTAAATCAGCAATTCGTCCTCCTTTCTGTCAGCCAATTGCATAGCAAGCACGCTAAGCAGTGACAGGATGATAGGGTACAGAATATAGGGAAGCATTTTCTATCCTGCAGCACTGAAAAGCACCTCTAAAAGAGAGAGACAGCTAAAGGTGCAGAATTTTGTTAACAGCTCTAGTCTAGACACAAGACCCAGTGTAGTGTTCAATACCACCTTTTTATTCTGGTTAACGTATTTCCTATTATTTTCCCATTCCTTAAAAAGCAAAGCAAAAAAAAAGCAAATAAACATTAAAAAACCACAATTCAAAGTGCCCTGAGAGAACTGTAAAAACTGGAACACAGATACTGCAGCTTCTCTCATTCTGCAAATCATGGCAATAATTCTGTAACCACTGCCAAAGACTTTACAGTCTATAATTTGAGAAGACAATCTCAAGTCTCTTTTTTCACCTGTAGCTCATAACCAGCAATTTGGAAAGCAAGCTTATTGCAAGCAGGTGTGGTATCACAACCAAGGGAGGCTATGCTTTGACTCTTTATTTAAAGGCCCATAAACTGAATCACAGAATTGCTCAGGTTGGAAAAGACCTTCAAGATCACCAAGTCCAACTGCACCCAAACCATACTACCCTAAAGAACAAACACAGGTCACCATTGCTCTTAATGTAATTCAAGATTCAAGCCATTAAGCCTGTAAAATAGAAACTAGATAATAGTTCAATGTCATTTAAATTATACGACAGCACATATATTCCATAAAGAAAAAAAAATATGCCAGCGTAGAGCACTGCTTACTTGAATTGAGAAGAATCCACTGTCATCCATGTTTACAGAAGGCTGCTGCTCAGCATATGAGGTTGGGGGAAAGAAAATTAAAAGTCGTGTAAGCATAAAAGTTCAGAAAGAATTTCACATTAAAAAAATACAACTGTACATAAATAAAGCAGCAACAAAATATATTCTACTCTGCATGCTGATTACAACACCTACATTTTCATTAATAACTCAAACCTTCAAATTACAAATATTTACTGCTTAAAGGACAGACAGGTACAGGTTACCATCTCTACCCCTGGCTTACTAAAACAAATGGTCAATCTCTTACTCTTCTCCTTGCCATGCCTGACCTTCCTATCCTTAAGATGAGGGTAACATGGCTCCTGTAGAAGCACTACAATGTTGTAGAAATAACATTTAAAAACCTCAAAACTGAAATGCTTGAAAGGAAGTATCAGCAAACTTCCAAATGTCAGCAATAGAAAATGAACCTTTTGTAACTATGAAAGAATAGGAGGCCTTTGCTACACAGTATTAGATTTTATGCAAACACCGTGCAATGTCACATTCAGATTTTACCTGTAAAAATGTTCTATATTCTTCGCTAGACACTCCTCCCTCTGCCATTCTCATTCTTTCTTCCTCATCCAACTGCTGTGCAATGGAGGATAACTCAACAGGACTAAAGTACTCTCCTTGCAGCAAATTATTCAGACAGTGCTGAGCACATAATGAGCCTTCTTGCTAATATTGGAAAAGGAGAAAAATAAAAAAAACAATGTCAAAACAATAACAAACCGATGTTAATGATGCGCTCTGCAAAAACATTCAGTGATTGTATTCCAGCAAACTTTTCTTCCAGCCCCCACTCCCCAGAATTTTTTTCCAGATTTGTAGCAGTGTGAGCAGTAGAATACATTCCTCTGCTCCTTAAATCTGATGATGAAAAAGAAAACAAACATTACATTTCCTGGAAGAAAATAAACTTCAAGTGAAAATGTTTTGGGAAACAGCATAAAAATCACCTACAGCTTGTCCAAGTCACACAAGTACTTTACAACCATCAGGAGAATGGATTCTGCTCCCTTCAAATCATCACCATATGAAATAGGAAACTCATTTTCTTTTTTTAATCTTCAATTCCCAGTAACAAACACTCTCCACAGGAGATGCTCTTGCTCTTTGTTAAACTTGTGCTCCCTGTCAGGTGTGGCCATCAAAAATCTGCTTTCCACATGTGGCTGAAGAAAAACAGAGCATTGAGACTTTGAAGAAAAAGAGGACTTCACAAAAAGAGAAATTACAGTTTCCCATGAAAAGCAATCTCTCTCTAAAAAAATAACTAACCTACAAGCACAAGACAGTTTAACACCAGTTATAAAAAGCAGCTCTCCTCTTTGTTTGTATCAGTGCTCGTTTATACTAGCATTAAGAACATGCATCAGAACAAACATGTTGGAAACAAAACAAAGTCTTCAAGGAATCAAAACCAGCCTCTCACCTCTGCCAAAACCTACAGAAAGTAAGAATCCAAAAGCGTGCCTTGTAGGAATATTATTTAAACGTCCACCTTTCCAACATACAAGTCAGGAGCACAAACCTCCTGCGGTCTCCCTTACAGCAGGAGCCCTAGAACTTCAGATTACAGTACTTTCTGAGGGCATCATCACTCAACTGAACACTGAGTTAAAGCTGGACCAGCTGTACAGCCAAGGTACAATGGAATTCTGAAACCTCATCTTCCACAGCTCCTCCAGCTCGTGTTTATCCCACAAGAAACTCCAGACTAAACAGCAACTCCTGCCCTGTTGGGAGCACATTCCTGCTGCTGGTCCCATCGTACAACTAAAACAGGGGAACTTGCTCACAGTCACAGATTGTTTTCACCATAAGCATGTAAATAATTAGGAACAAACCAACCCTAAGATACCTTTGAAAAAAATGAGCTGCATTATAAGCTTAGGCCCTAATTTCTTTGAAAGAGCCCCTCTGTACTTGTACAAAAAAAAAAAATTCATCTTAAAATGACAATCTGCACATACTGTAAGTGCATAAAACACATCTTTTTGTTTTGTAATAAATGTTAACTGCAGTATTTCTGTGCAGAGAATATGGTATTTTTCCATAATCTGAAATCCCCTTATTGAAACCTATCCGGGTTTCAACAGCTGTCCTACTTTCAGTGGTTTCAATCACTCAGATCCTTTAAGAGAAAAGGCCAATTTTTTAATAATAGGGGCTCAAATCTGCAGCAGTCCTACTTTTTGCAACTGTCACCCTCCTGTTACAAATGAAACACTGTTTCAGGTCTTTGTTTAGTTAAAGGTATACCAATTCTTTGAATGCAGTACGCTTGATCATTACAATTTCCGCAGTTTATTCCAAAAGTACAAAGCAGTTTACTGATAAACCCTTCTTTCAGTTGCCAGGTTGATACGTGAAAGGCTACAGAAAAGGAAGGTATGCACTTTTGGTTAGAACTCATTTTGTAGTCCCAGCTGGAAGTTGAAGCTACTGCAGCATGGGTTATAATGGCTGAAATCCAGCTCTTACCCTCTGAACAGCAGCTTCATGACGTTTGCCATGTTTTGCTACCCAAATCCAGCCTGAAAGAACACTCTCCATGTTCTACTGCTGATGTAAAAATAATGATATATTAAAAAAAAAAAAAAAAACAAAAACCAACAGAATTGTACAGCTAACTCTTTTTATTTGTTAACTAAACCAACTATTACGCATAAGAACAACGGCTAGAAATCGGTATCACCTACAACACAACAAAGATGCAGAGTCATTGGCAAAGTAGGTGAAAAAGGAGCTGTACTGTAGTAACACAGAGCTCGCACACAGCCCGTACGTGAGAGCCCTGGCGAAGCGCAGCAGTTTCCAGAAGCATCTCTTCTCCAAAACAGGAAGCGCCGCTCAGCACGCGATGCGGGCCGTCCCTCCCAGCGCCGTTCCCGCCGGGCGGCACACCCACACCGGGCAGCTCCGGTGGCGGCGAGCAGCGTGTTAGCGCGCGGAACTCGGAATGCAGAACCGCCCCATGTCCCGCTGCTCGCCTCCGTGCTCAGCCACAGATGAGAAGCAGCAGCTTTAGGCCATACCTGAGCGTACCCAACAACTGCTACGGAGAGCCCAACGCGAGAAGTCCCTGCGGAGGACATCTCCGCTTCCACCCTGCCAGACGACCGAAGGCGCTGCATATGCGGGACGCCTCATCGAAACGCCGGACCCACCGCGACCGCTCACTCACCCGCTCGTGGAATATCGACTCCATGTTTATTGTCAACGGCACGGCCTCCGCCTCACATGACCCGCGCAGCCAATCGCAGCTTGCCTCCGCTCGGCCCCGCTGAGCCAGGCTGCCGCAGCGCCCCCTGGCGGCCAGGAGGTCCCGCCATCTTGGCGACACCCCGCGCCTGCTCGCGGTTGTGGAGCAGCCGGAAATTCCCGCTCCCTCTGTGCCGCCCGTCTCCGCGTGACGCTGAGTTAAAGCGTGCTGCGTTAAGTACTTCCTTGAAGACTAGCTCATAAATTAGCCATAAACGCATTAATTCCACACCATACAGATTAATAAAAAAGGAAAATATTTTTGCATAGTTTTTTCTTTATTACATTAAGTCTTTCCTCCCCCAACTCCTGAATGGTACTTCTGGGGTCAGACATTTCTCAACATTTGTGGGTTTCCCAGGTACAAATTAGCTATATAACTAAATCACCTTTCAGAAAGTAACAATGGAAATTAAAGTAGCACTGACAAATTGTAGGTGTTCTTTTCTGTAGCTTGGTACAATCTCAAGATAAAACCATAATCATATTATTTCAATGCATGAGATAAGGTGATTAACTGAGCAAAAATATTCTCCATCAACAGCCTTTATTTCCATGTTTTTTCTTCACCGGGCCTCAGCTCTCTGTGCAGAAAGAAAAAAAAAGGTGGAGGCCAAAGTTAGGATAAATGTTGTGGGATAATTAACACACATTTAGAATTATTCTAGAATCCTTTGATTTGGAAAGTTATCCTGACTTTTTATTTGCAACTGTTGTCAGTTTTAAACCTTCCTATACTGGTAAGCTTTTTCTTTTCAATCCAAAGCATCAAAAGATTGAGTCCTTTGCTACCATTGTTATAAATAAACCTCTACTGAGTTAACAGATTGATTTAAAAAAAAATTTTTTTTTTTTACATAATGGGACTCCAAAGGAAAAAAATCTAACTCCTTCCAATACAAAAATCCATTGGTTTAGTGGAAAGACAAATAGAGGTGAAAGTGGAAAAGGTTTTTGCAGTGATGCTGAAATAGCCTGAAGTCACCAGGAACAGCAGAAAGAAAAGTGCTTGTGTAGCAGCTGCGTTAATTTTGTCATAAGCTGTTTTACCAAGAAAGGAGACAGCAGTTCCCAATATAAATGTTTAAAGATGCTGCATTAACTTTTAAAAAGTAGATAATTTTTAATGACAAATTCATACAATTTTTAAATGCTATGATAATTTTAAAGATGCTTACTATACAGAAAAGCTGAAAATGAAAATTCAGTGACTGTTTCTCATTGAAGTTTCAAGGACAAAATTACAGTTCCCACACTTCATGACTTAAGAATTTGACAGCAAATTGTTAAGTTTTATTTATTTACCTTTTTCCTGGGTAAATGATGTCCTTTTTCCTAGCAAAATGATTTCTGTTCACCTCCATATTAATGTGTTTACTTTATATTTTAATCTCAGGTAGAGCATCCTCCTTTTCAATTTTAGATACAAATCATACTTCCTATTACTGTAGTCTGCATTTATCCAGCTTTCACAGATGAATTAAAATCAATACTTCTGATTCACTGTTGCAATTGACCATTTTAAACCAATTATTTCGGCTAAAAGATCAAACACAGAGATCTACATATATTTTCTTTCATGGCTAAGAGCACAAAGATGGGCTTAGAGCTAAATATTCAGAGGGCATTAGGGATCTTAAATCCTTCACAAATGCTTGCTGAAATTTTGGTCATTTTTCCCTTTAATATTTTGATAGAATTCTTTTTCATATGTATGATTTTACCAACAAACAGAGAAGCGCTTTTTAAAGTCTATTTGTGAAAACAACCAAACATATTTTTAAAAGGCATGACAAAGCAGACCTCTTGTACAACAAGCTCTTGTTTCGGAAGGCTGACAGCCTCTCATCATTCCATCTGTCCAGATAGCATCCAACCACGAATCCCAAGGGAACAAGGATGTGAACCCAGTGGTCACGCACAGCTTGGGCAAAATTCACCATGGCTGCTAGAAAGAAAAAGCATAACAGTAAGAGTTGGTAATAAACCTGTACATGGAAGCTGGTGCATGCTTAGAACATTTAAGCACACTTGCTAGAATCCTATCCTGGGATCATACACATACAGGCCATTAAACACTTCCAACTAGACATGGATTTCATAGAATCAAAGAGGTTGGAAGAACCTCTGGAGATCACCTACTCCAATCCCCTCCCCTGCTAAGGAAGATTCCCTACAGCGGGTTGCACAGGAAGTCTTCAGATGGGTTGTATCTCCAGACAAGGAGATACCACAGTCTCCGAGGGCAGGCTGTTCCACTGCTCCGTCACCCTCACAGCAACAAAGTTCTTTTGCACATTTGTAGGGATCTTCCCGTGTTCCAGTTAGTGCTCATTGCCCTCTGTCCTATCGCTGAGCACCACTGAGAAGTGCCGGTCCCAACCATTTGACTCCCAGACTGCAGATATTTATAAACACAGACGGGATCCCCTCTCAGCCTGCTCTCAAATGCACATGCAAGTTTCTTAGAAACAGCTCTACACAACGCTCGGGTCTTAGAAATGGGATTTTATCCTAAAATGGGAGCGGAACATCTCTCTTAAGGCATTAATGGTTACATTTATGCGAGCTCGGATGACAGAAGGCAGACACAAGCCGCTTTCCTTCCCCTTCCCGCCTCCCGCCCCGCCCGAGCCGAGCTCTCAGGGCGCCCTCTGTGCCTACACTCACGGTACCGACCCTCGGCAAGGCGGCTGCCGGCGCGCCACGCACACGAAACGCTACCCCGGAACCTACCGGGACTCACAAACACCGCTCACTGCACCAGGCCCCGCACAGCGGCCACCCCAAGGGCAACGGGCGGCGCGAGCAACTTGGGAGAGCCCACGAGCGCGGGGGACCGAGGGAAGCCGCCTTCACCCCCCCGGGAATGGTGCCGTCCGTTCGCCTCTCCCCTTCCTCCTCCTTCTGCCCGCCCTGCGCAAGATGGCAGCGAGCGGCGCCGGTTCGGGCGGCCGTGGGCGCGCGTCGTGAGGCTGTAGGAGCAACTCGAGGCAGGTAGCGGCGGGGAGGGGGTACCGCTGTGCAGCGGCCCCTCCGTGGGAGACGAGCAGTAAAGGGCCTGTGCGGTGCTCGCCGCGCTCGTTCTTCTCCCCTTGGACCGGGGCCGAGCGGCGGGTCCCGGCCGGGAGCTGGAGCCTCTCTGCGGGGCCGGGCTGCCTTCGGGCTGCCGCAGGGTCTGGAGGGCCGCAGCTATCGCAGCGCGTGCTGCGCCGCCTCAGTGATTCGTTAACGTTCGTGTTTAATTTTAATAAATTTCTAATCCCTTTCTATTTGCAAAAGGCCCCAAGGATCAGGTGCTGCAATCTGAAACTTGTCGATAGGTATCCAGCTGCTGTAGTCAGTATCACGCATTGCTGTTATCATGTGTGTCCTCAGAAACGTTAACAGAGATAGCTCTACCTCTCAATTTCTTGTCTTTTTTTTCTTAAATAAATAGTTTTTTGTTTTGGATTACTCAGTAACACGTTGTCTTCCCCTGCTCAGATCTGTTCTTTAGGAAATAAGACACTTGGACAGCAGGATGACATCCATCATCAAGCTGACCACGCTCTCCGGAGTGCAGGAGGAGTCTGCCCTGTGTTACCTGCTGCAGGTGGATGAGTTTCGGTTTCTGTTGGACTGTGGCTGGGATGAGAACTTTTCTATGGATATTATTGATTCCCTAAAGAAGTAAGTACTTTGTGCACTCTAATCATGCTTTGTGTTTTCTGAAAGCTCTCAAAATAACTTCTTGACAGAGTTGGGATTCTCTGCAGAAGTTGGTTTTCAAATCGAGTCTGCTGATCTTGAAACACAAGGCAAGAGTTCAGATGTGCGTGTGTGTATATATATATATGTATATATGTTTGTATGTATACATGTTGATCTCTCCCAGAGGAGGGTCATGAAGGAGGAAGCTGGGCTTGTTCAGCCTGGAGAAAAGAAGGCTGTGGGGTGACCTCATTGCAGCCTGTCAGTACCTAAAGGGAGCCTACAAATAGGACGGGAATCAACTCTTTCAAAGGGGTGATAACTGCAGGACAAGGGGAAATGTTGAGGGAGGGAAGACTTAGGTTGGATGTCAGTGGGAAATTCTTTATAGAGAGAGTGATGAGGTGCTGGAACAGGCTGCCCAAAGAGGTTGTGGATGCCCCGTCCCTGGAGGTGTTCAAGGCCAGATTGGATGGGGCCCTGGGCAGCCTGGAGGCTGGTGGCCCTGCATGTAGCAGGGGGGATGGAGATTATTGTGTAGTAGCATCTAAGATGTTTTGGGTGTCTTACCTGAGAAGCATTTAAATTTAATCCCTGTTTTAATAATAGCTGTCAAGAATAATGTGCATGCTCCAGTCACTATGTAAGGGACCAAAAAGCTGAGTCCTTCTGCCCAACTTGTATTTTCACTTGTTGCATTTGTTTTAGGCCCTTATGTTTTTGAATTATGATAGCTAGTCTTTGGCCTGAGTTCTTAAGTTATACCACAGTTTTCAAGGAAAAGCAACTTGTGTTTTTATTTATATAAATTAATTTTTAAAATGAAGCTAAAACTCACCCTTATTTTTAACCCAAATGTATTTTGATTTGATTGGCCTTTGCATCCTGTTATTTGTACTTCCTCATTTGAAGAAAAGTTGTAATATATTTTAAGTTTTTTACATACATAAGCAGTGTCATGTTTGCTCTGAATATACCTTTGGTTCTTCAGTTAATGAACTTTCTGGTATCCAAATATATGCTGAAGTCTTTCTAATCAAGAACATAGTGCAAAACTTTTGGAAGTTCGTATGTCACCTGGTCCTTGAACTTACGTTTTCAGATCTCAGTTATTTAAGTTTTTATTTTACTTGAGATTGTTTGGAAAAAAAACATAACTTTTAATTAAGTTTTTAAAAACTTTATTCTAAACTGAAAAGACTTGAGTTCTCATGTTTGTTGTTCATACTGTGCAGTTGATCTCAAGACAGTCGTGGTAGGATGTCATACCATATACAACTCCCCACCATCTTCTGCTGTCCTTCTTTTGTAGGCATGTACACCAAGTTGATGCTGTTCTCCTTTCTCATCCTGACCCTCTACACCTTGGTGCTCTTCCATATGCAGTTGGAAAAATGGGATTGAACTGTGCCATTTATGCAACTATTCCTGTGTATAAAATGGGACAGATGTTTATGTATGATCTCTATCAGGTATCTTTTCCGTTCATGCCTTAATGCTCAACATCTTTGACAAGGTAGAGGGCTTGAATTTTTGAACATTCTGTGCTTCTTATTTGTTTTAGTCTCGCCATAATACTGAAGATTTCACACTCTTTACATTGGATGATGTAGATGCAGCATTTGATAAGATACAGCAGCTAAAGTTTTCTCAGATTGTCAACTTGAAAGGTAAAGTCCCATCAGCAAGTTTTGATAGCTTAGTGATTCTGTTCCCTTTCATTGGCAGTTCAGGTAACTTTTTAAAAGGAGTATGTTATTTGAATGTTGTGCATTTCCCAGGTGTCAGTCTACATCAGCCAAATGTCAGTAGAATTTCCATTTAATGAGGAGAAGGTTATGCCAAGGTTGATGGATTTTACTGGTTAGATAGGAAGGAGAGAGATGTTACTGATTTTCATACCTCATTTGACTTTTTTCCAAGTGATAGCTTTGGAGATTAGCTACTTATTTACCTATTATTTAGAGTAATAGGTTTTCATACATGTCATCTACCTAAAATATTGAAAGCTATCTAAGAGACCATTGTTTTTTGTAGGCAAAGGACACGGTCTGTCAATCACACCATTGCCTGCAGGTCACATGATAGGAGGCACGATTTGGAAGATTGTCAAAGATGGAGAGGAAGAAATTGTTTATGCAGTTGATTTCAACCACAAGAGGGAGATGTAAGTTCAATATAACTAACTATATTTCTCTGATGTGTCAAGTGTGTATAATTTGTGTGATAAATAAGTATGGAAGTAGCGGTGCCTTTCCAGATGTAAGAGAACCACTAATTTTACTTGGATTCATATCAGTGAATTTGAAACAAGCTGTAGCCCTGGGTTTCTTCATTCTGCTCAGATTTATTTTAGATTGAAGCAGGAAACATTCAGAAAGCGTTTGTATCATGCACTTGAAAAGCTTTTCTTGTTATTTTGAGGAGGGAAATAACACACAGCTTCTCCTTGTCATGTAGGAAACAGTTTTTACAAACTCTGTTTTCTGTTTCTCAGAATCTTACTTGACTTAGAAGGAACAGGAACTCTTAAAACAATGTGCTCAAATTCAACCTATCAAGATGGAATTTGCAGTATAAAGATAGAGTGTAGTTATTTTTAGGATGTTTTTGGGATACACAATATTTGCTTTCTGAAAAATATCCTAGAGGCTATAGAGCAAGTAGATGAATGTTGACTCTTAAAAATTACTGCGTGGCTTACTGGATGGTTGAGATTTAAGAAAGTTCATGGTTTTGAAATTCCTGGAAAATGTTAAAGAAAAATGTGTGGGTTTTTTCTACCTTAGCTGACAGAATATTTCTCATGTCCTGCCTTCCTCCCGTAAAATGCTTGTTTAGGAGAGGAAAAAAGGCAAGAAAATAAATATCAAAATAAGGTTTACTCGTTAGTGTTTGTTACTATGCTTTTTAATATGCATCTCACCCAATTTAAGCATAAAAACAGAATTGTAGAACGTTCAGAATGGAAATGGTCCCACATGGATCATGGAATCCAACCTCTGGCTCCACACTGGGCCACCCAGCATTCAAGCCCTACATCTGAGAGCTTGTCCAAATGCTCCTTGAACCCTGGCAGGCTTGGTGCTGTGACTACAGCCTTAGGGAGCCTATTTCTGGCTTAATTGAAGTTACGCTAAAGAGACTTTCAGGGAGTGAGGAAAAGAGGAAGGAAGTAAAGTGAACTAAATTGAACCTGTTTTTTCTAGTAATTATAAATATTTATACAGTTGATAATAAATATTTACTATATTAACCTCTTTGGAATTACTTGTTTAATCAGACTGACTCTTGGACACCTTCTTATTCTTGGCCTGAAGTATTTTCTTTAAGCAGCTCTTTGATTTGCTTATATGTGATACCCTGTTTTTTCCACTGTTGAAATATACATGGAAAACTGTATGTTCACTGTCTTATTTTTTCCTTGTAAAATAAAAATGCTGACAGTGAGTTCTGGCCTTTTTTCCCACAGCCATCTGAACGGTTGTTCATTGGAAATGCTGAGCAGGCCTTCATTGCTTATTACAGATTCATTTAATGCTACTTATGTACAACCCAGGAGGAAACAAAGGGATGAACAGCTACTAAGTACGTATTCTGTTTGGGGCTCAAGATAGCAGTAACAGTTTGATTTATTAGCCACTGTAAATTGTTGTTTTTTTTTTTTTTTTAAGAAGTTTACTAACATCTAAATTAAGAATCTATATTCAATTTTAACAACTTTTGAATTGCTTTTTCCTGATGGTACTAACCCTGTGGGGAAAATGTTTTCATAAAAACAATGACTTGCAGTCATGTCAAAGTCAAGTGTATGTGAAAATAGTGTATTTTACCCAGTAATGTTTGACTTGGGGGATTTTTAAATGACTTTCCTTAGCACATTCTTCTATTAATCTCCATTTTACTGATGTTTGAAAAAAAGTGATTGTAAAAATTAGTAATCAAGGTGGTGGGATCTTCAAAGCTCTAGATGTGGTTAAAAGTAGTTCTTTCTGTTTTAACTATTCTTAGCTAATGTTTTGGAGACATTACGAGGTGATGGAAATGTGTTGATAGCTGTGGATACAGCTGGCAGAGTTCTGGAACTTGCTCAACTTCTTGATCAGATCTGGAGAACGAAAGATGCAGGATTAGGAGTTTACTCTCTGGCG